GTGCCGGTGGTAGCCGAGGAGCAGCTTGCGGTCCAGGTGTCGCCGTTGTGCCGCCGCAGCAGCAGTCCCCACCGGTGTTCGCCCTTCGCCTGCTCGGCCTTCCGTCCCCCGACCCTGCGTCGGTTCCTCCCCGACCGTCTCCTCCTCTTCCTGTCTACGGCCCTGTTTTCCCTCCGCCGGACTCGTCCCCGGCCCGTCTCCCCCCTCGTTCCCCTCCTGTGTCCCCTCCCCTGTCTCCTGACCCGACTCCTCCGTCCCACGTCTGGTCTCACCGTCCCTCCCGTGCTCGTCCTGCCTCGCCTGTCTTGCGCTCCCATCCTATGTTGCTTCGTTCCCACGCGTCTCGTCCTCCCCTTCTGCCGTCGCCTCCTCCGTCCTCCCTTGTTGTTGCGCCCCCCCCGCTGTCCGACTACCTTCGTGCCGCTCGTCCTCTAGTTCCTCGGGTCCTTGCCTCTCCCGTTACCGACCCGTCTGTTCCGGTCTCGTGCCTTGACGCTCTTGTCGCTGCTGTCGCTGACTTCGCCTCTACCCGCCGCCTTGACTACGCCACCGCTCTGGTCTCTGACCCTGCCTGTCCTCAGTCTGTCGGGGGTGCTCCTGCCCTTGGCAGTGACGTCCTGGAGGACCGCCAGTTCGAGCTTGCTTTCCTGTCCGAGGCTGCTCCCCATCTCTGTTCCATGCTGCTAGTCCCTGAGGGTGACCCAGACGTTTTCGACATCCCGACCCCTCGCACTTACGCTGAGGCGACTTCGGGACCCTGGGCCTCGCAGTGGATAGCTGCCATGGAGCAGGAGATGGCATCTTGGAGATCCACCGGCACCTTCGTCGACGCAGTTCCCCCGCCTGGGGTGAACGTAGTCGATGGCCGGTGGCTCTTCAAGGTGAAGCGCCCTCCTGGAGAGCCGCCTGTCTTCAAGGCGCGCTATGTGGCTAGAGGCTTCAGTCAGCGCGAGGGGGTGGACTTCTTCCAGACTTTCGCTCCGACCCCGAAGATGACTACTCTTCGGGTTCTGTTACACCTAGCTGCCCAGCGTGACTACGAGCTTCACTCCCTCGACTTCTCCACTGCCTTCCTTCAGGGCAGCCTACACGAGCAGGTCTACCTGCGCCGCCCTCCGGGCTTTACTGGCACCTTCCCTCCTGGGACCCAGTGGCTCCTGCGGCGCCCCGTCTACGGCCTGCGCCAGGCTCCCCGTGAGTGGCACGACACTCTCCGTGCTACGCTTGTTGACCTGCAGTTCTTTCCGTCTTCCGCAGACCCTTCACTCTTCGTTCGTGCTGGCCAGACTCCGTTCTACATCCTCGTTTACGTCGACGACCTGGTCTTTGCCACAGCAGACAGGGACGCGCTGGCCTCCGTGAAGGCAGAGCTGCTGAAGAGACACACCTGCACTGACCTTGGAGAACTGCGCCGTTACCTTGGCTTGCAGATCTCCAGGGACAGAGCTGCGCGCACCATCACCCTGACTCAGTCACACTTGGTGCGCCAGGTCCTTCAGAGGTTCAGCCTTTAGTTCTCCTCTGCACAGCCCACCCCTCTGCCTGTAGACCACAGGCTCTCCGCTCCAGTGCCTGAGGAGTTGGTAGAGCCCAGCGGCCCCTACGCAGAGCTGGTGGGTTGCCTCATGTACCTGATGACTTGCACTCGCCCAGATCTCGCATACCCTCTCAGCATCCTGGCTCGCTTTGTGGCCACGGGCAGACACCGACCGCAGCACTGGTCTGCCGCTAAGAGGGTTCTGCGTTATCTTGCTAGTACATCGGGCATGGGGTTAGTGCTAGGAGGACGCAGGCCAGTGGTCCTTACTGGGCACACAGACGCTTCGTGGGCAGACGACGCTGAGACACTCCGGTCTACCCAGGGCTACTGCTTCAGCCTTGGCTCAGGTGCCGTCTCGTGGAGAGCTACTCGCTCCTCGTCTGTTGCACAGTCCAGCTGTGAGGCTGAGATCTACGCCGGTGCCATGGCGGCACAGGAGCTCCGCTGGCTGACCTTCTTGCTCACTGACTTAGGTGAGCGGCCTAGCTCTGCCCCGGTCCTGTTCGCTGACAACACGGCCATGATCCTCCTGTGTCAGGAGCCTCGACTCGAGGGCAGAGCGAAGCACATTCAGCTGCGGTACTTCCTCCTGCGTGAGCTACAGCAGCGACGTCAGGCTCGCGTAGTACACTTGGCCTCAGGTGCCAACACGGTTGATATCTTTACGAAGGCGCTTGTGCCTAAAGATCATCAGCGGCACTGTGTACAGCTTGGTCTAGTTCCTGTAGCCTCTCACTTGCAACGACCTTGACTTTGTACTGTCCTTTATATGTATACTCAGACTGGACTTGCGTCCTCTCCCAGTGGCTGGACTAGTAGTGCCGCCCTGCTCTTGTGCTTGCCTTGTCTGTACTCCTTCTGACTGGTCGCTCAGACCCTTGTCTCAGAGGTTGGACTAGTAGTGCCACCCTGAGCTGTTTGTTTAGGACTTTCCCCTATGCAGTCTAGGGGGTGTGTCAAACATGTCTATTTGTTATGTTTGTATAGACTGTATAGGGTAGCCTCTTAGAGGGTACAACACTTAGCTATATTGTGTGTACTCTCTCTCTATCATCATCACTTGAATTTCTGATAACTGTACAGGTAATGAGTCAGGGTCTGTACGCGCTGTGCTCTGATAACTCAGTACTGGGTTAGCGACAACTCTGATTTTCTCAGGATCCCTAGAATCGTACTCTGAAGGGACCAGGATTGGGAAAATGCCTTATCTGGAAATTCAGGTTTGGCCAAAAAGCAGGTCTGAGATTTCAGACTAATCAGAGTAAATAGTCTGATAAAGTCAGCCCTACATGAAAATAGTGCAAAGAAAACTGGGCGAAAGTAATTTCGGCAGAGTTCCCCTAACGAAAAAGATCGTTGCGAAATCAAAAACCGTGTTCGCATTATGGGGTTTCTTCGGCAACGACCAAGTTCATAAGTGCGCGAACAACACAGTAATGCGAGACTCCCACAAAAATGTGTTCAGAATGGTGATAGGCAAAACTCAAGAATACAGAGATAAACAGTGACTGGGGGTTTTTCTTATGAAGCGGAAGTCGCAAGTCCCCCCCCCGTTCCCTGAGACTTGCGACGTTTCCCTGGTATCTACCACGTTACCCTTTATTCGACGAAAACAAGTTCAGGACTCCTGAACTTGATAGCAAACCATTCTAGACTCGGGTTTTAACTTAGAGAATGAGAATCTCATTATTGCTCGAGGGAATGATGAGCTCATGAATGCTGCGGGAACTGCAGAAACTTCTCGGGCAGAAGGTTCTCGGGAAGTTTGGGGACGAGATCACGCTACCCATCACCCTCTGTTCCTAGCACGATGACACTCACCAAACCCTCGATCTGATCCTTTCCCTACCTAAATACCACCTTCGTCATCTCTTGTTTATACAGTTCACTGACCCCTTTCACTGAGAACTGTGCTCACCAAGCAATTTGCATTCCTCAGTTCACTTTCCATCCTTGGCGCTGACTTAGCTACGGAACTTTGACAATATTTCCAGAGGGAACTTGACATCGCCACTGACACTTGAAAACCGCGCTAGCTGAAGCACAGGGAGTGGTGATTGCTTTTCAGTGGATTCGGTTGGAATGGAATGGTTGAAACATGATGCACAGACAGGTCGATGCAGCACAAGGACGTGAAATGTTGATGAGACGAGAGCTGATTTGGGGCATTGTTGGTGGGAGCATGCTGCGCCACGCCTCCTCCCTTCCCAACCAACAGCTTCTCATCAAAACCTCACTAGTGTAGGTCGGGGTTCCCTGAACGGGGTTCAGGGTTTCCGTGGGGCAGGTCAGACTCCCCGAACCGAAACCGAACTTGGAATCCAATGATATTGCCCTCGTAATAGCGGAGCCAGCTATCCAGCCGCCCATAACTGGGCAACCAACTCCAGGGCACGTGATGTTCCCTGCTTCTGCCAGTCAGAAGCCAGGCTTTTTTCCAATGGCCCACTGGCAGTCTTGTTATTGACTCGACTTAGCTGAGCAGCACTCGTTGTAGATGGCGTTCATCTAAGTTCCAACTTTTAGCAAGTCGCTCTTCACACCATCTTGACGACAACGCCTCCACATCAGTACACCTCATGTTGCTTTGGGTCGCCGTTGTTACAAGATCCCTTTCACGAAAATACAATAGAACATGTCAATATTCACTGCTTCTGTCGCATGGTTTAGTAGAGCCTTCGAAGCGCGACATGAGGGAATCAGCATCGAATATTTGCCCAATTGTGGTAATTTTGCGATGAACTAATCAGAGACAACCCAAGGATTGCTCTCAGACCCACGGAGTGACAGTGCCTGGTTTCAATTGTGTGCTGTGCTTCGTTTCATTTTGCAAATAGGCTGTAATACAGCTTCAGCGTGACATGAGATTGTTCATTACTGACGTGGAATCGCCACAGGTTCTGAGGTCCAAACTAACGAACAGTCTCGGGTACAATTCATAACCAAGAGTATGCTTTTGGTGAACTGGATCGCGCCGCGTGGTAGGTTTGGGTTTTACAAAGCAGTTAGAGGTGTATTTGTCTTCCAGCCAGTTCTCTCGATATCCTAGGGGTCACCCTGCATTTTCCGAGTTTGCCCGGGATCCAACTCGTCCAGGCTAGGTACTAAAACGTTTGACATTTTTGCAGGCAAGAGATTCGTCAAGCTCGGAATAAGCCACTCCTGACAATGACAGGGGGATAATTTTTTACTAGGGGCGCGAACGTGTACATTAGATTTTACAGGGCGGGTCTATCCCGTACTCAGAAATTGGCCGTGGGATAATTCTGGGTTGCCTGTCCATGGACGGGTATCGATATTCTGAACGCGTCAAAAGCAGGGCTAGGTTAAACTTTTGCCCTGTTTTCATTGACCAAGCAGTGTAATTACCCTGACTTCCATAGGCCTGCTTTCAGCGTCCAAGCTCAGCCCTTGTCATGGTCACCTCACATGCCCTACCTCAGGTTCTCTCTCGCTCACCGTCCGTAATCTTGGATCTGATCAGCTCCTAGACCTCCCCTCCCCTCCCCTCCTTGCGTCACACACGGCGATTCTTCAATTAATGGCCTTCATAAATCCCGCTGCTGCCCAAACTCGAGTGGATGTGCTGCAGGCTAGTCGAAGCTGGCAATTATTTTATACGCTAGGTGCGTCGCTCTCACGAGCCGCCGCCACAGCATCATGCTGGGACAAGGCCTGGACACCTGGTTAGTTAGTCCATCGACGGCTACTGGGCAGGCGCGACGTGAACATCATTGCTTTCACGTCCTAGGCTGGAATCGTCTCTAAACTTGATTCGCAAGCGCAATCGCGATCGCCATCATCGCAAACATGCCGCGGACCCCAACATGGGCCTTGGAACGACGCCAAATAGTGCCATTGGGTTCACAGCCTGGACGAACCCCGACGAGCTGTGATGGACGTGTAACCGGATGGTGAAATGTGAGCCTTTCTGTAACCTAGAGCGCGGAGCGTGTACTAGTGCGGAAGTTGGGGGGGGTCAACGCACGGGAACTGCGGAGAGGGAGGAACGTGCGATAAGGAAAGGCGCGGTAAAGCGGGTCGACATTTACCCGTTAGCTGTTTTGCGCGGAGAGCATCGGGGGAACCTTCGTCCGCCATGGCTCATTGTATTGTACTCCTCTCGCCACGCCTATCCCTTTCCCCAACCCTCTGTCGCCCACACTCACGCGCCGCATTCCGTGGCCCAGCCAGCCAGCCAGCCAACTTCCCCCAATTGCTCGTACGGCGGCATTGCGAGTTCGGGTAGTACCCGTCGGGCGCGACGATCCTGGCTCCATACTCGGACGTGGCGAGTATTGCCACTACATACTTGTTCTCGCCATCGGCGCCATTGCGGCATTTTGTTGCGATCATCGGCATTCTTCCGTCCCTCGACTCGAGCGTCCAGCTTCTAGCAGGTAGCAGGTAGCAGTCCGGGTCCGTCCCTCCCTTCCGGTCACTCCCTCCCTCCCTCCCTTCCACTCACTCCCTCCGTCCCTCCCTCCCAGTCACTCATTCGCCTCACGCCGAGTCGTCCGTCCCTTCCGCAAGCCCAGTGTGTCCCTCAAGCTCAGCTCAACCGATCGTACACCGTCCTAGGGTCGATAGTGGTACACACTTCAAGTGTACGGCGGCACGCGCAGACGCTCACTTTCCACACAGTCCGAGCAATCCTCAGTCCGAGTAGCACCACTCTACTTCTAGTAGTTGTAGCGCCCTCCCTTCACAACCGTTACCATACTTTGCAGACGCGCACACCAGACGACGTCTCGCGGTCACAGCAGACGACGCGCCTCTGTCCTCACCCTGAATTCACGCACCGGCGGTGTGAGAAGATCAGCCCAATTCGCTGACACGCGGCACGCGGCTCTGTCGCCTCTTTTTGCGGGCATCATTAGCAGTTATAATTCCGAAATTCCGCTCGCCGCAGCCATGGCGTCCTTGCAAGCGGAGTCGCCGGGGGAAGGGGCCTCTCAGCCGCTCTCGCCAGTGGCGGATCCGCCGCCCGTTCTTCAATTCGCGCCGTCGTCGCAGACGTGGACCACGGAGGTAAGCGCCGCTGCTCTTCCCTCCAAGCCGTGGATGCTGCCGCGCCGCCTTCAGTGAATGCGCCGTGTGTGGCCGCCACTGCTCAAAATGCGGCCCGCGTAATAGCATGTTCCGCCTCCTGCCTGCGCCTCGCGCCTGCGCCTCGCGCTGAAGCACTGTGCGCCCTGCTCAATGGCATCATGTCCCTCTTGTGCCGTCCCCGTTGCCTCTCCCTCTCCGCAGGAAGACGCAGTGCTGCTGCGCCACGCGCTCAAGCACGGCACGCGGCAGTGGGGCCGCCTGGTGCGGGGCAAGCAGCTGGCGCGCGGCAACAAGGCGTGCTGCAACCGATTCATCTTCCTCAAGAAGTGAGCAGCGCATGAAGGCTGGGTTATTCGAGGCCTATCGCATCAACTGCCTATCGCATAGAGCATGTTTCTCCATCTGGCTCGAGGGTGAATTCAACCCGATTCCATCCTCCGACGCACAATTCAATCGGCCCTCGCAAGCTTTCGCTTTTCAGTTTGGGAAACCGTGGCTGATCCGGGCCTCATCGCCTATTCGTCTTGCTTTCAGGAAATTCGCTCAGAAGCACGCCATCGTCGCCTCGCCAGCTCAGCAGCAACAGTTCAAGCAAGGCGCGTCCATCGTCCTTTCCGCCAGCCAACCAGAGCGGCACACGTGGAGTCGCCCTGACGTGGCGTTGCAATACGGCGGGCTGTCATTGGACGAGTGCATGCGGCTGTTCCTCCCCCCCGCCCTCCGAGGCGTCGTGGTGTCATCTGATGTTTCACCTGACGTTTCACCTGACAGCGCACCGGCACCTGTACCTGCTGCTGACGCTACTGCTGCTGCTGATCACCCTGCCGAGGCTGACAGCGCAGAGCGCGAGCAGGTGGTGGCCGTGGGGGCAGCACGTGTAGCAGCAGCAGCAGTGCGGAGCAACACAGCAGCGGCAGCAGACCAGCTGGCTCACCTGCTGAGCATGGATGCACAAGCAGTGCGCGTGCGCACCACGGGCCCAAGCCACTCGTACCCCATGGACCGAGGCGTGAAGAGGCATCGCGAGGCCGACATGGCGACCAGTGCGGGCCGCACTGCCATCCTGTCCGCCAATCAGCTCCAGGGCCTTCGGGGCGTTCAAGGCCTTCCAGGCGTTCAAGGCATTCAAGTTCAAGGCGTTCAAGGCGTTCAAGGGCTCCAAGGTCTTCACCGGCTTGACAGCTCGGTGGTGGAGTTGTTGCTTGGGCGCGCCGACAGCCAGAGGCGCCAGCTACAGGCAGAGGGCAGGTGAGGCTCGATGCTTGACTGATGAGCGCAATGCGCAATGCGCATGCGCTGATGGGCTTGGGGTTCACGTGTAGCAGATGCACCGCCTGCTGACCACCCTCGTTCTCACGCTTCGTTCCTCCCATTGCTCTGCTTTGTTCTGTTCTGTTCTTTTCAGGCCGACGCTTCCGTCCTCCTTGCTCCTCGCTCTTCTTCTCCAGCAAAAGCAGCAGCAACAGCAACAGCTGCCGTCACTGCTCTCGCAGGGAACATTGGGTGCCGAGTCAATGAGGTCAATGCAGTCAGCACAGCCAATCCAGTCTCTTCACGGAGCACCACTCTCGGCAGCCGCCCACTGCAGCAGCATCAACGCGCTCTCGTCAGCCGCCGTCCCCGCCCTTGACTGGCCTCCCACCTTCTCGCCCTCCTTCTCACCCCTCAAGGCCTTGGAGACTTTCAAGTCCCTCGAGCAACCTCTCAAGTCCGCCGCTGTGTCGCGCCCAAGCACCTCGCTGCCTCTCCTTTCCCGCCGCCGTGGCGCTCCCCTCTCATCCCTGGAGTCGTCCACATGGCGCTCCGCCGCCCACATGAATGTCGCCTTTGGGTCGGTGTCAAGCTCTCCCTCTGGACATTCTACCCACCTCAACTCTCCGCACTACCCTCTCACGCCCCCTCCTTCCTCACACCTTCACGCAACTGCTCCCATCACCCCCACGTCACCCCCAGCACCTGCACCACCGCTGGCTCCAGTAACCCCTTCCGCCCTCAATCCCGGGCTGCCCCTCCCCTCCTTCCCCTCTCTCTCCGCGCTCCAGTCCGCCCTCCACACTGCGCCGCACAACGTTCCCCCGGCTGTGCCGGACCACTCGCACCAGTATCCGTCCCGCACCGCCTCCCCCAGCAACGCCGCTTCCTCGGCTTCTGTCAGCGGCTCCCCACATTCCTCCCAACTCTCCCCCAAGCGCAACATCGCTCCGGTGGAAGTGCAGCAGCCGCAGGCGGCAGCAGCACCGCCAGCAGCTGCAGCCCAACCTGTCGCAGCAGCAGAATGTGCACAGAAAGCAACTCTGTTATGTGCAGGAGACGCACCTCCCTTGGATTCTTCTACGCTGGCGGACATGAGGCCGCATAAAACTGCCCGGACGAGTCGAGGCGTGCTGCCCCCTGCTGCTCTGGAATTCGCCCGTTCTTTTTTTTCCCACCTGCCCGGCAGTGGTGATCCCGAGGGAGGCAAGAGCAGTGAAGGGCGCGAGTCATTGGATCACACACGCACGAGTGCGAGGCAGGGTAGCCTTGCAGGCAACGCTGACACAGAATATGGATCGCAGTTTGGAGCTGGAGCAATGGAGATGCCTCAAGTGGCTCTCCAACCTTCAGTTCTGGCCACGGCTGCCGCATCAACTGCTTCTCCTGCTGTAAGTGCTTCGCCTGCAGCTGCGGCTGTTGCTGCAGCTGCGGAGGGCACGTGCCATGGGGAGCTATCCATCTGGAAGGATCTGATAGAGTTGGAGGTGGGGACTGAGGGAGGCTTGTGCTGTGAGGAGAAGATCAAGGCGTTGACAGTGGGCTCTTTCTGTGAGCTGGAAAACCTTTTTTGCGAGGAAGAGCCGTCCAATGTGGCACCATATGGTATGGTGTGAAGCGTGCAGAGATTTTGAGCCCTGTAGTGTGAATTTGGGCTGTTGTGGCTGGAAGATATATGGTGTCACACAAAGCCTGCCATTGAGATGCATTTTCGTCGTTTGTTTTTCGTTGGCATATGCTTGTGTCAATGTGTAGACATTGTTTTGATGAGTCATTAGGATGCGACTGTATAGTTTCAAACAAATAGTGTGGCTTGTTGTGAATATGCCTCATGAGCTCGATTGAACTTGTGACTAATTTGAACTGTGGTATTGTTTTCCGAAAATCGCGCCAAAGCTTGGATGACTGACAGGTGCGGCCGAACCCCTCTGGTACGACTCCCGCGCAAACGCCCTCAACGCCATACTCCCACGCCGCGCTGTGGCGAGTGTGAATGTTTCGCGACAGCCTATCGGAGCTTGCATAGCCACACATGTCTGTCGACGCGTTCGCATTCATTCGCCAGCAAATTTCTCGCTGACAAACCTGCGAGAACTGGAGACTCGGTGCTGCGGAGGCCGCCGATGTTTGCTTGCACTCCAACCTAAGCAAAACCAACGTTGACACACTCGACCGATCTCAAACTAGCCGGAAACCTTCAGGGCAGGCGAGACGTTCCCAACGCCCTTGCACATTCCTACCAAATTCCCTTATCTTCCTGGTTCTCACTGCTGCTTAGTCTTCCTGCTTAGCCCGCTTGCCGACCATGAACTCAGATCGCCATGGCGCTTCTCTTTTCTCATTCCCTACTGTAGGATTGTCACCGCATCTTAAGCCTCCTAGTGACATTTTATTTTGAATTGAGTATCCATTCGTAGACTCGGAATCCATAAGCCGGCTATCCTCGCAATCAATTCAATTGCTGTCGTCACCTGCTGCTCTATCATCTTTCCAGCGGCCGATGTTTGACGCTAAATCACGATCAGAGTCTTAACGTCACATTATTCTTCATATCTAATCTATTCGAACGCGTCATCATTATTATAGGCATCTGGAGCTTCTAGAGCAGCTCATTAGTAGACTCTCGGAATCCATAAGCCGGCTATCCTCGCAAGCCATGGCTGTCTTCACCTGATGTTCTATCATCTTCCAGCGGCCATCTTACTATTTACCATAATCTTCATCTCCGCGCTAGTACCTCCATCGAAAACATCTCCACGGGTTGAAACCGTCATGGTGACCGACGACCGTCGCTGTACTTTTGCGGCTCTGCCTCTGTCTTACTATGCACTTTCACCGCTGCCACGTCTTGTAGAGGTGGTTCGCCACCTGAAGGTTCGTCGACGGTTCGTCGAGGTTCGCCACCTTACATGCCTGACACGTCTTCCGCTGTTCCCGTGAGCTCTTTCGAAAGCCAACGCTGCTGCCAGCAGATTTGGTCAGATTGGTCGCTCGCAACACCTGGCTATTTTTACTGACGCCGACAGCCACACCGACAGTAACTTTGACGAAAACGTCGCGACGGCGGCGTCTTCGGAGGGTGACGATCGAGACAGCGTTTTCTAACGGTGAATCCTGACGCCGTTTCCTCACGGTTGCGATGGCAATGGCGTTTTCTGACAGTGATGATCGCAGTGGCGTTTTCTGACGGTGATGGTCGCGACGGCGTTTCCTGACGGTAACGGTCGGGACGGCGTTTTCTGACGGTAAGGGTCGCGACGGTGTTTCCTGACGGTGCTACCGCGACGGCGGTTTCTGAAGGTGACGATCGAGGCGACGTTTGCTGACGGTCGCGACGACGGCTCCTGATGGTGACGATCAAGTGTTCCGGGCATCCTGCTGCTGACGACGCGATCCTGCTGCTGACGGTGGTGCCGCCGCTGGTGCCGCTGCTGCTACTGCTGGCGGCGGTGGTGGCTCTGCTGACGGTGCTGCTGATGGTTCCGCCGATTCTGCTGCTGGCGGTGGTGTCGTTGCTGCGGCGACCTTGAGCTGCTGGTACTGCTGGCGGTGGTGGTGGCCCTGCATCCGCTCCGAATACCTACCTAAACGGCTAAGTGCTCTTTCCCTTCTCCTCTTGATGTTTATTTTGCAAACCTACTTGATTCATTGGCTTATGGCACTGGTGCGTGGGGGGCTGCGTGGTGGGCCGTGGGTTGGAGTTGAGTGGTGAAGTGAGGGCGTGGCAGCCCATGTCACTTGGCGGTCGCTTGCATGGTCTAGGCGGGTAGTTTAGCATGCATTCATTCCCATGCGCGCGTCCCTCTCTCCTCTCGAATCTCCTCTTTTTCCTCTTAGTCCCCCTCGCATGGCCGCCAAGTGCCCTGTGTTCGCCCGTGCCGCACGCTCCCTTGAAGCCTCGAAAGCTTCGCCCGTTGCACTGGCTGGCCGTTTTTGTAAACCCTGTATTCTCTTTCTTGCTTTCCAACTTCCGCTTTTTTGTTGTCAATTGTTGTGAATATCGCCACTACCGGACACCAACATTCGTTTTGAATGTGTGCGCGATATCTCTGCAGGAAACTCTTTCGGCGGCTGCAATGGCGCTTCTGCAGCAGCAACGCTTGGGATGTCGCTCGTGGGATGACGCACGGCAGAGGCGGTCACGGTGCTGCGATAGGTTGTGACTGCCTCGTCAGTGCCCTGCTGACTACTGCAGTGGCTCCTGTTGGCGGCAGCACTGGCTCCTGTTGGTGACAACCCTGTGCTGCTGCGACTGACGGTGCTGACCATAGTGCTGCTGCTACAACCATGTGCTGCTGCTACAATCATGAGCTGCTGAAACTGCTGGTGGTGGCAACCCTGTTGCCGATCCTACCAATGCTAGCAATGGTGCTGCCGATGATGCTGCCGATGATGCTGCTGCTTGCGGTGCTTCTGACAGTGCCGCCTATTCTGCTGCTGGCGGTGGTGTCGCTGCTGCGGCGACCTTGTGCTGCTGGTACTGCCGGTGGTGGTGGTAGTGGTGCTGCTGCGTGCGCTGGGGATACCTACGTAAACGGCTAAGTGCACTTACCCTTCTCCTCTTGTTCTTTCCATCGCTTTTTTGTCTACTCGTTTTATGACGGCCCTAGGCGCTGCTGCATGGGGCGCTGAGAGGTGGATGGGGGGGTTGGAGTTGAGTGGTGAAGTGAGGGCATGGCGCTTGGCGGTCGCTTGCATGGTGTAGGCGGGTAGTTTAGCATGCATTCATTCCCATGCGCGCGTCCCTCTCTCTCCTCTCGAACCTCCTCTTTCTTCTCTCAGTCCCCCTTGCATGGCCGCCAACTGCCCTGTGTTCGCCCGTGCCTCACACTCCTTCCCCCTTGAAGCCTTGGAAGCCCTCCCAGTGCACTGCTGCCGTGGGCCTTACCCTCAAATTCGTTGCTTTTTCTCTCGTTCTTGCTCTCCAGTTTCTGCTTGGTTCTTGTGAATTGCCGTGGGAAACACCTCTTTACCTGAGACTTTTTTCCGCTCCGAACGTGTGTCGTGGCCATTCCTCTGCAGGAAACCGTTTCCGCAACGGCTATTGAGCAGCAGCAACAGAACTTCAGCACCAGCGATGGCACGTCAACTGCAGCAACGCCACGTCAACTGCAGCGATGGCACGTCAACTGCAGCAACGCCACGTCAACTGCAGCAACGGCACGCCCTCCTCCTCCTCCTCCTCCTCCTCCTCCTCCTCCTCCTCCTCCTCCTCCTCCTCCTCCTCCTCCTCCTCCTCCTCCTCCTCCTCCTCCCCTCTCGCTGTGTGCCTGCCTTGTGCGGGGAGGGAGGGCAGCGGGATGACGCACTGCACGCAGCCACAGCGGTGCCACTGCCTCCTGCTCGCCCTGCTGACCACTGCACTCCCCCACTCGCTGAAGGCTTGCGGGTGCCGTTGCTGGGAGTGCGGCTGGTGGGAATGCGGCTGGTGGGATTGCGGCTGGTGGGAGTGCGGCTGGTGGGAGTGCGGCTGGTTGGAGCACACAAGGGGAGGAGGAGCGCCCTGCACCGACCCTTCCACACCCCTCCTTTCTCTCCTCCTCCTCTCTTCTGTCACTCCTCCTCCTCTGGCTGCCAGTGCTCTCACCTCCAAACACTCCCAAGGTGGTAGAGGCAAGCGCCATGATGTGAGCATGGTGGCTGCGAGGTAGACACTCACTGTAATTTGGTATGGTCCCTGGTGGTGAGGCCTGCAGCTTCCAACGCACCCACTCGCTCCAACCGCTCCTGCAGCACTCCAACAGCGGCAATGCAAGACCGACTATCGAAGACCGACAATCCGGCAACAACCAGGGAGAATATTTGTACTTTGCGCATATTCTTTCATCAATCGCTTTTGTTTGTCCTTACTTTCAATCTCATTCGCTCCAGAGCTCACTCCCCCTCCCTTTCTCTTTCACCTGCCCCTTCCCCTCTCCCCACCTGCCTTCCCTCTCTCTGCCCCTCCCATGCAGCACCTGCAACTGTGGCTGTGGGCAGCCCCTGCCACGTGGTGTGACCCGTGAGTGCAGGGTGCGAGGGCAGTGGGATGACGCACAGCGGGCAGCCACAGCGGTGTGACTGCCCTCTGCTCGCCCTCTGCTCGCCCTGCTGACCACTGCACTCCCTCATGCACTGAAGGCTCGCAGGTGGGGCTGCTGGGAGTGCTTCTGGAGGAAGTGCTTCTGCTGGGAGTTGAGAGCGCACACAAAGGGAGACGGCCCCGCATCCATGGCACGAGCCTCGCAACTGCCACCCCTACGGCTAAGTTCCCACTTATCCCTTTCCAATCTCCATTCTCCTCAGTCCATGCTTGCTGCTTTGTATGTCAATGCTTGCTTATTCCCTCCATCACTGCTTGCTTTGGTCAATAATAAGACGGGAGGCATCAAAAATTCATTTTGGGGTGACGGGCGTGTGGCGATGGTAGCGCATGGCATTGGGGCGGAAGGGCTCATACTAGAGTTGTAGGGGGTTAGAAACGCGTTCATCCTCATTCCCGCGTCCCTCTCTTACCTAGTCCCCCTCGCATGCTAGCTCCATGCCCTGGTGCCGTGCGCTACCATCGCCCTTTCTCTTTAGTTGGCCTTTGCACCGTGTTTCACAGAATGCATTCTCGTTATCGCTTTTGCTTCTTGCAAACAGGGTCATTTCTTTGAATCCTTCACTTTTCATGCACGTATCATTTCCTTGTTGTAGCAGGTTTCTTTGGCTTGGCGTGCCTTGATTCAACTTTCTGCATCTCCCTCCCCAAGTGCTTTGCCCGCACTATTCCCTTGCACCAGGCCCAAGGGGGTGTGCGCTGCAGAGCCGGAGTGGGAGGACAGTGGGATGACGCACGGCAGGCAGCCACAGCGGTGTGACTGCCCCCTGCGCCCTGCTGACCACTGCACTCCCCCTCATGCTGACGGCTTGCGGGTGCCGCTGCTGGGAGTGCGGCTGGAGGGAGTGTGACTGGAGGGAGTGCGGTTGGAGGGAGTGCGGTTGTTGGGAGGGCAGCAGCATGGGAGCACGGGGTGCAGCAACGAGTGCAGCTGAGGGGCGGAGAAGGAGCGCTCTGCACGGACCCTTCCACACCCCTCCCGCTCTCCTCCTCCTCCTCTGGCTGCCAGTGCTCTCACCACGGGACCCTCCCCAGGTGGTAGAGGCAAGCGCCATGATGTTGGCATGGTGGCTGCGAGGTGTGGAATGGTCCCTGGTGGGACCTGCAGCTCCCAACACACCCACTCGCCCATCCGCTCCTCACACTGCAACACCGACGGTGCAACACTGACAACCCAACTGCGACAACACAATGAATACCTGGACCTTCACTCCCGCTCCTTCCTTTCGTTTTGAGTTCACTATCGCTCTTGCCTTTTGTCTCACTGGCCTGCGTACTCTCTCCCTCTCCCGCTCTCTTTCACTTGTCCTTCCCCTCCCTCCCCGCCCTCCCTCCTGCTGCCCCTCCCATGCAGCAGCCGCAAGTGGAGGCAGCAGGGAAGGTGGCAGTGGGATGACGCACGGCACGCAACGGGGCTGTGACGTGCCATGCTGTGACTGCCCTGAAACTGGAGGCAGCAGTACTGTATGCCCTGTGACTGCCCTGCACGTGCCCTGCTGACCACAGCGCGCCCTGCCTTTCACGAGCTGGTGGTACGTATCTTGCTGCCTCGTTCTGCCCCACACGAGCTGCTCAGAGGGGGAGTGGCGCTGCTGCCAAAAATGGGTAGTATCTAGCTGCAGTGAGGCGGCATGGGAGACAGGAGTGCCTTGTGATGGCATGACGAACCACAACCGGGACTGCAGCGCCTCTCTATTGGTACGTACCTCTCTGCCTCATTCTGCCTTCCTCCTTGCGCCCTTTGGCGTGCCTCACTGGCTTCAGTTGCCTTGCTGCTCCGGTTGAGTGGAGCTGCCAGCTCCGTCCTCCATGATGGTATGTACCTCTCTGCCTCGCTCCTTGCTCTTCTCACTCATTCCCTCCCCTTCTCCTCGACCCTTCCGCTCTTCCTGTCCTCCTTTTTTCTTTCGCTTCTGCTCGTCCCCACTCGATCTCTCTTGCTTCTGCACGTCCCCCCCCCTCCTCCCCCTCCTCCCCCGCCTCTCTCCTCTCCCCTCTCCCCCTCCTTTCCCCTCCCCTCCTCCCCTCCCTCCCCTCCCTCAGGTTCCCAGAGCGGAAGGGAAGGCGCCAACACTCCATGACTGGTAAGCACCTCAGCCTTTCCCTCCCCTTCCCCTCCCCCTCACCTCACAACGCTTCGAGGCTGGTAAGACTGGAGACGTCTCCTCGTCCCTTTCGCTCTTCCTGCCCTCTCCGTTTTCTTCTTCTCGGCGTTGCTTTTCTCCCCTCTGGCTCTTCCCGTTGACATCCTCCCTGCTTGGCTCTTGTCCGCCCCTCATGCATCGGCAGCACTCGTGGGAAGCAGGAGCTGCTGCAGCAGGGATGGGCAGGCGGGAGACGCAAGAAGGGAGCACGCTTCTCTTCAGGTAACGACGTAGCTCCCCCCTTGTTCTGCCTCCCTTCCATTACCCCCGCTCTCCTCAGTTCACAGCTCTGCTCTTCTCTCCTGCCAATCGTGTCAATCCCTCACACCCAAAACACTCCCCCCCCTTTTTCTACTTTCCTCCCTTTCCAGGCATCAGCAGCAGTGGCGGGAGTTGCAGCAACGTGGGGGCATCACTGGCAGGCGCTGTTGCTATGGGCACAAGGTGTGTTGGCCCTTCCTAGGCATGTTGTCTTCTTGTCATTCTTTTCAATCATTCTCAATCATCCTTGCAATCCTTGAGCTCAGTTCCCTGAGCTCATTATAGTGAGCTCATTTTAGTGAGCTCAGCGAAGGGAGCTCACGTGAGTGTGCTTAGGGAAGGGTGCTCACTTAAAACCCGCGTACCAAGTAGTTCAATGGTAGGAAGGTTGGTTGGATACGACGACCGGATTGGTTGTCGACTAGTTCTCCTAGGGAACTCTCAACGAAAGGCAGGAAGCTCGAGGCAATTTTGGGACATTTGGTATGCGGGTTTTAAGTGAGCTAAGGAATGTGAGCTCACTTAAGTGAGCTCAGGGAAGGGAGCTCAGGGAAGTGAGCTCGGAGAAGTGAGCTTACTTACGTGAGCTCAGAGAAGTAAGCTCACAAAAGTGAGTTAAGGGAAGTGAGCTAAGGGAAGTGAGCTCAGGGAAGTGAGCTCACATAACTGAGCTTAGGGAAGTGTGCTCACTTAATTGAGCTCAGAGAAGTGAGCTTAGGGAATTGAGCTCACTCAAGTGAGCACAGGGAAGTGAGCTCACATAACTGAGCTCAAGGAAGTGAGCTCATGGAAGTGCTCACTTAAGTGAACTCAGGGAAGTGAGCTGAGGGAATTGAGCACACCTCAGTTAAATTATGTGAGCTAAGGGATGTGAGCTCACGGAAGTGAGCTCACTTAAGTGAGGTCAGGGAAGTCAACTCACTAAAGTGAACTAAGGGAAGTGACTTAAGTGAGCTCAGGTAAGTGAGCTCAGGTAAGTGAGCTCAGGTAAGTGAGCTCACATAACTGAGCTCAGGGAAGTGAGCTCAGGGAAGTGAGCTCAAGTGAAGTGAGCTCAAGTGAGCTCAGGGAAGGTAGCTCAGGGAAGTGAGCTCACGTAAGTGAGCAGAGGGAAGTGAGCTCAGGGAACTGAGACCAAGGAAGTGAGCTCACTGAACTGAGCTCAGGGACGTGAGCTCACTTAAGTGAGCTTAGGAAAATGAGCCGAGGGAAATGAGCTCACTCGAGTGAGCTCAAGGAATTGAGCTCACTTACGTGAGTTCAGGGAAGTCAGCTCACTTACGTGAGCTTAGGGGAGTCAGCTCACTTACGTGAGGTCAGGGAAGTTAGCTCACTTCTCACTTAACTGAGCTAAAAAAAGTGAGCTCACTTAAGTTAGCTCAGGGAAATGAGACCAGGGAAGTGAGCTCTGGGAAGTCTGTCAGAAACTGAGAACTTCATTGATAGAATAAGCAAGAGCATATATTCTTAAGTACCTAGCATCGGAGAGGATGGGAAGGGATAAGGGAGAATCGGAGGGAATCCCAAGGGAATCCTCCCAAATCGTGGGGATTTGAGATAGATTGGGTTGGGATAGGTTGGGGATGAAAACATGACTACACCCAACCTAACAAATATGGGTATCCCTAAAACCAACAAAGTGCCAACACACAAAGTTGTGCCAACCGAATTGCAGCCTATCTCTAACACACCCCCTAGGCTGCAACGACGGAAGTCGTAGGGACGCCAAGTCTCATGGTACGGAGGAGACGATAGTGATCACGGCGTCCAAGAAACTTCGTAAACAAGTCGGCGAGGTTGCAGTCAGAGGAAATATGCTTGACGCACAACTGCCCTCGCTGGACGAGCTCGCGCATGAAGAAGTGTCTCAATTCGATATGCTTGGTTCATTGGTGGAAGACAGGGTCTTTGGTGAGATGGATGGTGCTCTCGTTATCACACCACAGAGTCGGGATCTGCTGAGGATACTCGAGCTCAGCCATGAGGTAGGTAAGCCATCGAGCTTCTTGGGCTGCCATGGTGCCGACCAGTGGCGATTGGTGTATCGACCGGCAGCAACATAACGCGAGAGCACACTGATGGGGTAGGCGAGGTCGGGCCTTATGCACATCATCGCATACATGAGTGATCCGACGAGCTCGGGGTATGCCTCATTACAAGGCTCAGGCGATTGAACTGATGGAGCGGTCAGATCATGCTGCAAGGGAAGGGGAGAGGCCACTGGCTTGGCGTTGTCCATGGCAAAACGCTTGAGGACGTTGTTCACATAGAACTCTTGAGAGAGAGTGATGGTGCAAGCTTCGCGGTCCCGCGAGATTTCCATCCCAAGGTAGTTCTTGAGTTCCCCGAGGTCCTTCATGGCGAGAGTGTCCCCAAGAGCTTGCTTAACAGCTGATCGGAGTCCTTGGAGACGAGAATCATATCGTCAACGTAGACGAGAAAGAAGAACGGGTTCTCGTTCTTGCGAATGAAGAGACTCGGATCGGCTGAGGAGGGGTGGAAGTCGAGTGACTCGAGGGTTGCCTTCAGCTTCTTGTGCCACTCCCGAGGAGCGTGCTTCAACCCGTAGACTGGTCGATTTAGCTTCCAGACCGTGCCGGGTGGAAAGGGTAAGGGAAATCCTTGAGAACGTTCCATGTAGATGTCCTCACGGATATCCCCTTGGAGAAATGCAGCAGAGACGTCCATGGAGTGAACGTCAAAGTTGCATCGAGCAGCGATGTCCAGTAGGGTCCGTAGTGTGGGCAGTTTGGCTGTCGGAGAGAATGTGTCGAAGAAGTCCAGGCTCTTCTTTTGCGTGAAGCCTTTTGCACAGTATAGTGCCTTGAAGACTGGGAGTTTGCCAAGCAGCTGCTTGACGCGAAAAACCCATTTGCCACAGACAATATTAACTCCTCGCGGAGGAGAGACGTCCGTGAAAGAGTTGTTACGAATGAATGTTTCACACTCCGCGATCATGGCTGCAAGTCACTGAGGGGAGTGTGGTCCAGAGATGGCTTCATCATACGAGTTCAGGGCTGGGATGGATGGATTTTTCGAGAAGTTAAGAGTTGAAGCATCGGCAAGATCGGGGAAGAGATGGCAGAGCTGACGGATGGCAGCATTGATCTCAATCAGCTCCTCATGCTTATCCTCCAAGAGGCCAGGCATGGGTATACCCTCGGCAGGAGAAGGCGGATTGAGGGAGATGCGAACAGAGAGGGCGAGAGGCAGAGCGGGACCATGAGAGCGGGTGCGGTAGGCAATAGGGACAGGAGAGGAGGGAGGTAGCGGGGGAGGAGGTGGAACGTCGACATAAGAGCGTCCGTGGCGTCGGCGACGATAGGTGACGGGCGAATCAGGAGAAGAGGTGGAGGTTTGAGGCAGAAGCGGAGGTGAAGGCGGGGATGGAGGGGCGGGGGGAGGCGCAGGAGGAGAGGGAGGTGGAGGGGCAGCTGCAGGAGCGGGTGCAGGGAGAAGTGCAGGCGCGGGCGCAGGTGAACGGGCAGCTGAGCCAGTGGGCGAAGGGGGTGAGAGAGAGTGGAAGGAGATGGGGGAGGCGAGAGTGAGGGGGCCGCAGGAGGAGCGGCAGAGGGAGGAGGTGGAGAGGGTGAAGTATCGAAATCGGCCCACACAAGCGAAGGTGGAGCGGTGGGGGGTGTTGAAGAGAGGTAAAAAGGGCGACTCTCGTCAAAGGCGACATCGCGGCTGCGAATGAGCTGATTGGTGAAGGGATTGAGGAAAAGGTAGGCGGGAGTGTCCAGGTTGTGGCCGAGGTAGACACAGGGTTGAGTTTTTGGTGCAAATTTGCCGCCACGAGTGCGACGTTCCTGAGGGTTGAGGAGGACATAAGCGGTACACCCTCATACGCGGAGAGGACGTGCACTGGGCTTGGTGCCGGTCCATAGTCCGGCGGGAGTGATGTCAGGCCGAAGAGGGTGAGGGTGAAGGTTGTACAGCAGCGTGGCATGGAGGAGGGCGTAACTCCAAAGGGAAGGTGGTGCACCAGCGTGAGTGAGAAGACAGCGAGCGATTTGCACGAGAGTGCGATTGCAACTTTCGGCAATGCCATTCCGCTGCGGACTGTGGGGAAGGGTGAAGGTCTGGCGAATGCCTTGGGAGGCACAGAACGCTTGAAGGGAATGGTTTCGAAATTAGTCACTGCCATCGGAATGGAGGCACTTGACTGATGTGCGGAAATGATTTTGGGCTTGTCGAACCCATGCTGTGACGACATCTGGAACAGCTGCTTTGGAGGAGAGTAGGAGGACGGATGCGTAGCAAGAGTGATTGTCAACGAGCACTAGGAAGTAAGAGTGCCCACCACGAGAGCGTAGTGGAGCTGGGCCCCAGACGTCCATGTGGACGAGGTCAAGCGGGGCGTCTGCAGAAGAGGGCGAGGAAGGGTGAGGCAGCTGGCGTTGTTTGCGTTGCGCGCAGTCCAAGCATGGAGGAGCGGGAGAAGTGGAGGGTAGAGGAAGTGTGTCGGGCAGGTGAAGAAGCAACTTCTTAGACGCAAGCTCGGAGAGCATGCAAAAGTTGGGATGCCCGAGACGATGGGTAAAGAATGGTTGGGTCGGTGAGCTGGCTGCAGGAGCACGATGATGTTGTGGAGGTAGAGTGTGCTTCAGCAGAAGAAGGAGGTACTCGGAGTGTGTAGAGGTTGTTGGCTGTCAGTGTGAAGCGTGCAAGAAGGGCATTGTTGGTGGGCTCAAGGAGATCACAATGATTAGAATGAGCTGGGAAGATAATGGTTACCCCTGCTCGTTGAATCTCATGTTGTGCAAGTAGGTTGTGCCGAAGAGTGGGCACGCATATGCCAGTGACTGTGCCAGATGGGAAGGCCGGGCATGGAAGAGTGGAGGAACCATGGGCGACAGTTGTGAAGCTGGAGTCAGCGCAAAGTAGAGGAATGGGTGCTTGGTATGGTTTGAAGGACTCTTTGTCTCGGAGGACTATGTGGGTCGCGCCATTGTCCAGGACGAATTCAAGTGGTTTAGATAGTGTTCGTGGAGACGCCAAGTACTGGGAACTGGTTTCATTGATCATGGGAAGGCCAGGGAACAACAGGTTGAGACGAACATTAGGACTAGGGGCATGAACGGCTGTGTCCTGACGATCCCGTGCCTCAACATGGTTAAGCTGGCGCATGCGAAGCCAGTTGGGCGGCTTGGAGTTGATACCATTCTTGGCGAACCAGTCGT